CTTCCTCTTCTTTATATTCCGAAATAGTTGGTACAACTATTGTTTCCCCGTCTTCAGTTTCATTATAATTGTATACTTCTTCTACTTGTTCTGAATCTTCAACTTTGCATTCCATTACTTCATTTTCCACAAAATTCATCTAAAATTATGAAATTTTAATTTGTTATATCAAAATATTTTGAACATGTATATACATAACATGTATCTTCGTATATACCTCTCCATCAGCAAGATGATTTACTTCTTCATCTGCAACATTTTCTTCTTTTGAAATATTTAATACATCTTCTTCATTATACATTTGATCTTCATTTTGCTGTTGTATAATAACGTGATCTTTTAATTCTGTCACATATAAATCATTTTCATCTAACTAAAAAACAAAAAAAATATAGAAAAAATTAATAAATATATCATAACATAAAAAATAAAGGATAATATAAAGGATAAATATATTTTATTACTTGATCATTTTCTGCCTCATCCACTAAAAATTCCACATTACCATCAGAAATTGTTATCACTTGATCATCTTCTGTAGTGAGTCGCGGTTGATTGACCACAATAGTATCATTTAAATGACCCTAAAAATTTACATAAATATTCGTATCAAAACGAATAAAAAAAAAATTTTATTATAATATTATATCACTTCAACCTGAGTTTGCATATGAGCATACAATAAAGGTTTTCTCATAAAACCCATTCCGCATACAAGACATTCATATGGCTTTTTATCACTATGTATAAATCGATGTGCATTTCTATTATCTCGACTATTAAATGCTTTTCCACAAACCTAAAATTTTATATAAAATTTCAGATAAAAATTAAATATTAGTATAAGTTAATATTAAATAAATGATTATTAATACCTCACAAAGATAAGGTTTCTCTCCAGTGTGTATACGCATATGTTTTTTGAAATGTTCAGGATATACAAATGTTGCTGTACATATATCGCATTTGTATGGTCTTTCACCAGTATGGGCTGCTTTTATATGATAGTCTAATAATCTTCGCCGTTTAAATCCTTTTCCGCAATCATCACATTTATACCTCTTATCATTATAATGTGTTGCACGTTTGTGCGATTGCAAATTTGATCGTTGACTAAAATGTTATAAAAATATAAATTATTTTTACACTTAATATACATTTAATAAATGCATAAATAAACATGCCTAAATGTAGCTCCACAAAATTCACACTGATATGGTTTCTCGCCAGTATGTGTTCTTTCATGATCTCTAATTTCAGCTTTACGGGCAAATGCTTTACCACACACTCTACATATGTAAGGTTTGTAACCAGTGTGCACTATATTATGCACTTCCAAATTATGTGGTGATCCAAATGCTTTTCCTATAATTTTATAATTTCTATGTATATTATAAAATTGCTTCAAATATTACGAAAAAATGAATAAAAAATAAATAAATAAAACATACCGCATTGGTGACAAACATATTCTTTTACACCATTATGAGTTCTTTCATGTTGATTAAGATTTTGTTGACTTAAAAATGTTTTATTACATTGTGAACATTCATAAGGACGAGGTCGTATCTCATGTGTTTTCACATGAGCTTTATAGGTATATTTTGAAGCAAAATCTTTACCACAATTTTCACACACATATGGACGAACACCCGTATGTGTATTAATATGTTCCTCTAATAAATTTCTGGAACTATAAATATAAGAAATTATGATATACATAAGTTAATCTATATATTACTTAAAAATTGCAATTTGTGTTTACCTATATCGTTTACCACAAGTTTCACATGGCCAAGATTTTACTTGTGGATAATGTATTCTTTTATGAATTCTAAACAATCGCAAATTACTAAATATTCTGTTACATATTTCACATTGAAAATCTCCTTCTTCTTTAGCAACATGATCATCAAGATGAACAGATAGTTCATTTCTCTTTTTAAAATCATCACCACATATATCGCAAATGTATAAACGAGTTTCATGCACGCTTCTTACATGTGCAATAATAGATTTTGCATCTCCTACAGCTTTATCTTCTTCATTTGTACATAACAAACAGGTATATGTAGAACCATCCCTAGATACAATCTAAAAAGCAAATGAAAAATAAAGAAATATTATTGTATTAATACAAATTATTATATATTTATATTTCTATGGTAATATAAATTGGTAATATGATTACTCGTTCTTGAGAAGGTTCAACTTTTGGTGCAATTTTTGTTCGTTTTATCCTTTTTCTTTCCTCAGCATTACTTGTTTCTGGTATAGGTTCAACCTTAAGAATGATTTCCTCTGGTTCACAAGAAGGTTCTTCTTCTTCTTCCTCTAATCTTTCTTCTTCTCCTTCCATGTCTTGCATTTCTTGTTCATCCTTCACATTAAATTTTAAATTATAATAAAATTAATATATTTTAATTTTAATATTATAATTATTAATATATTTAGATTTTAATTAAATGAGTTTATTTTATATATTACTTTTGTTATATATTTAATTTCTCCATCTGTATCTTGACTTTCTATGTTTTCTATATAATCGTGATCATTATATTCTTCTTCATTTTGAATATCAGATAATTTTTTTATAGTTTTCTTATAATTATTGAATAATTCTAATTTTATTTCTGACAATCGATTTTCAAGTTCATCAATCTGCAAATGTTAATTATTTTTTAACTTTATATATAATTTTATAAAACATAATAATTCGTATTTCATTTACCTCATTAAATAATTTATAACACTTTTTACATATAACAAGAGAATGTACATTCTCTTCATTTAAATCTGTTTCTAAGACAGTACAAATAATATCTACAAGTGGTTTTTCAGATGATGTTAAAGAATTTTCATTAAAGATTCGTATACTATTTCTAGTAGATACACCAACTTTACTATTACATATTAAACAATGAGTGCTATCTTTTTCTGAATCAGCTGTCATCTTTTTGGCAACTGCAAATATAATTATATACGTTAAAAATATGATTTCATAATCTTAAAAATATGATAGAATAATAATAAATATATTTATAATTATATTATATTTTATATATATATATATTTATAATTATATTTTATATATATATATATACACATATATATATATTTATAATTATATTTTATATATATATATTTCTTTAATTCTATCCATTTTTAATTTATATTAACATTTGTTGGTATTATATTTTTAAAAATTTTAAAATTAAAATTAAAAATTAAAAAAAGGAAAATATTAAACATAACAAAGTGAATTATATTTTAAAAGTAACAATTGTGGTACTTTGTATTTCGCAGAATAATTTTTAATATTCATACAAGCAAAAATAAAATTCATTAAAATAAAATTTTTATAATGGTCTCTCCTTATGTAACAGCATATGATGTGTACTGAGAAGAAAGCAACCATTGATATTGTTGCATTGTTGAACAATAACGTATCCGACGATTCATTCTATAAGTAAAGGAACAAGAAATAATGCGATGAAGCGTCTGACAAGATTGCTTTCGTCGTTCCATGCAACGAAGCATTCTGTTCTTTGCTCGCATCGATAAGTAACCGCTAAAATCCAATAACCCTAACAATAACGTATGAGGAACAGTAAACAAAATATTTGCCTGCGTTCCTCGTCAAAATGAAGCCTTATAATAAATGTAAAAAGTTGCCAGCACTGACTTGAAATTTTCGTGTCTCCGTTCGAACGATTGGCAGCGAGCAAAACGGCAAATGGGTTTTGATGCCATTTAAGTCCTCATGACAGGTAGGGTAGATGTTTGCGATGAAAATATAACGAAAAATACACTTCGAAATGGTTGCCACTTTTTAGAACGTAAACGACAATTCGATGTCGCCTTCGCGTTAGGTGGAGGAACGCGATTGCGTATGCACGCGTCGAATGCCCTCTATCGGATCATTTCTACGCGTAATTCAGCCATATTTTACAGCATTTTAGTCCCTCCAAAATGTATAAAATTTTGAAAAATCCGTTGACATTTGAACATATTGATATTAAAAAATAAACATTTTGATTAATAAAAATTGATTTTTATTTAAAATTTATTTAATCATTTTTTTATATATTTTTTATTAAATTTAAATAGTTTAATGGAAATGTATCTTAGTTAATATAAAACACTTTTATTTTTGTTCTTTCAATTAAATTGTATAAATTAGTAACCATATGTGACGTTAATATCTTACATGAATTTCCAGGGAATTTTATGTTGAATTTTATTGTTGGTGAATTTAAATTCTCATTTTAAATAATAATAAGTGCATCTCATTATTTGAATTACAAATTATATTATAATTATAAGTTATAACAATATTAATTAATTTAATAATTTAATCTTTTCGAACAAAAAAAGAAATTATTTAATTGAATCATATTACATTTTTAATTGATAATACATCTGTTTTAAAATTCCACAGTTTTTAAATATAAAAAATAAAAGATATACATATAATTGTGTATCTATAAATTAATTAATATATAGATAAGGTTAATTTATTAAATTGCAAATAAGCAAATTGATTATATTATTATATAAATTAAAGAAAAATAATTAATAATATAAAGTTTTTTTAATATTTTATTGTTGAATAATATAAAATATTAATATTTAAAATATTAGCTTTCCATAAATTTATAAAATTTATATTCATAATGTATTAAAAAAATAAATATAATGTAAAAAAAAGCATGCAGATTGTAGATACGCCAAATACCATAGGTTATATAAATAATTCTATTTGTGAAAATTTTTGCTATAGAAGAGTAATGTTTTTTTTTTTATTCTATAGGAATGTTTCCATGAACCAATCACGATGTTTCTTTTATATTTACTTTTTTTCTTCTGTAGATAGACATTCAAAATACGATATAGTTAATGAAACACCGCCAATTTTTAAATAGTAATGCTCCATTCTATGTTAAACATAATCATAAATGGAAACTGACAATCAGTTTATAATATCGATGCATGGAAATTGTTATTCTTTGAAGCAAAAGCGATCGATGAAAAACAGCCAACAACGTGCGCATAGTTGGAGATACTTATTTTTATCAAAAAAGTTATTGTAGTTATCTAATTTCTTTAATTTAATATTAATTTAAAACCATTCACTATTAATTTGATATTCATGATTGTGACACTTAATTATTTAATTTGCCGGTTGACAACAAATAAATCAAAAGGTTTAATTAATAACAAGTATTCAAATAGTTTTCTATGAAATGAACAAAAATGAGTCGACAAGTAGATATGGACCCCTCGTCGGTGCAATCGACGAAGGGACAAGTAGTGCTAGATTTTTGGTATTAAATTTTTAATAATTATTTATGTCATTAAGTTAGTTTAATTTATAATAATTAATAAAGAATAATTTATAATAATTAATAATGATTTAAAATATTTAAAATTAATAAAGAAATATATTTTTAAAATATGAATGTATTTTTCTTCTATTATTCTATTAAAAATTAAAAGAATTTCTTAAATTTATTTTTAGTAAAATTTAGTAATTTATTAATTTTTTTGTAAAAAATATGAATAACATTATAATTTGTATAAAATTTTTTATTTTATGTTATTATATTTTTATTAATAACGTACAAATTATTTTAGGTTTTTGCTGCAGATACAGCTGAAGTGTTAACATATCATCAGGTTCCAATAACACAAACATGTCCAAAAGAAGGATGGGTTGAGCAAGATCCTGTAGAAATATTAAAAGCAGTTAGAGAATGTCTTAATCAGACTATATTTAATTTACGCCAGCTTACCATAGATCCTACCGATATAGTTGCAGTTGGTATAACAAACCAAAGAGAAACTACAGTTGTATGGGATTCCATTACTGGAGAACCATTATATAATGCTATAGGTAATCATTAACACAAGCTTTTTTATTTTTATTTATTTATATTTTATTTATTTTTTTTAATAATGATTACTATTAATAAAAATAAAATTTATATTCATTATTTTATAGTATGGATGGATATGAGAACTACTTCAATTGTAGATGATATATTAAAAAAAATACGTAATCAAAATAAAAACTATTTGAAACCACTTTGTGGTTTACCAATTAGTCCATATTTCAGTGGTTTAAAATTAAAATGGTTGTTAGAAAATGTACCTCGTGTACGTGAGGCTCTAGATTTAAAACGGTGCATGTTTGGCACAATTGATTCATGGTTAATTTGGGTGAGTTCAGTTCAGCTACTTATTAAAATATATAATTAATATATAATATATATATAATAGTTTTTTATGTAAAAGATATATTATAAAAATAAAATTTGTTATCAAATAATTATATATGTATGTATATATGTTCTAGAATTTAACTGGAGGTGTTCATGCCACTGATGTTACAAATGCTTCAAGAACAATGTTAATGAATATCACAACTTTAAAATGGGATCCAACATTATTATCATTTTTTAATATACCTTCAGAAATTTTACCAGAGATTCGTAGTTCGTCAGAAATATATGGTTATATACAAGATGAAGTTTTATCTGGTGTACCAATATCAGGAGTAGGCATTTTTTATAATTAATATATTAATCAAAATGAGATAGTAATTATCTATAAATAAATATTGATTTATATAAAGTGTTTAGGTGATCAGCAGTCAGCATTGGTAGGACAAATGTGTTTACAAAAAGGACAAGCAAAAAGCACTTATGGCACAGGCTGTTTTCTTTTATATAATACTGGAACTGCTGTAAGAGTAACTTTATTATTCTTCAAAATTTCTTTATAATTTAAATATTAATAAATAATTTTGAAGATTGTAGATTCATCTCATGGGTTATTGACAACAGTTGCTTATCAATTAGGACCACAAGCAGCACCAATATATGCTCTTGAAGGCTCTGTAGCTATAGCTGGTGCTGTTATTCAATGGCTAAAAGATAATCTTGGAGTACTATCTGATGTAAAGGAATCTGAATCTCTTGTTGAACAAATTCCAACTGATAATCGTGTTACATTTGTACCTGCATTTGCTGGATTATATGCTCCATATTGGAGGAAAGATGCAAGAAGGTAAATTACATAATAATATAATATTATAATTATGTCATATTACGGAAATAAGAATTGTAATTAATTTTACTATCACATATTCTTTGTAAAGTATTTAATATTTCAGTGTTATATGTGGAATTACTGAAGACACAAATAGTACACATATTATAAAGGCAGCTTTGCAAGCTGTTTGTTTTCAGACAAGAGACATTTTGGAAGCTATGAAAGAAGACACAGGTTTAACATTATCTAAATTGTTAGTTGATGGTGCTATGACTACTAATAATTTGTTAATGCAAATGCAAGCAGATATTTGTGGAATTCCAGTTGGTAAATGTATTAATTTTCATAAAAATTTATTTCTTATAATAAAAAAAAATCAAAATAGAGATAAAAAAAATATCTAAAAATATTAATTGAACAATTTTACAAGAAAGTGAGGCCTTTAATGTGTGAAACTACCGCACTTGGAGTTGCAATTGCTGCAGGAAATGCAGATGGTATACGAAAATGGGATGTAAAATTTGATATTGCTGTACCAAGTGATATCTTCTTACCTTCAATATCTGAGAATGGTATGTTACTAATTTTTCCTAATTTTTATATTTTTTTCATTGAAAATAATCAAATTTTATTTAGAACGAGATATATTATATTCACAATGGAAAATGGCTATTGATCGTAGTTTAGGTTGGGAACCAGTTTCTAATACCAATGGTATGTTTTTTCTTTTTTTTTCAATAAAAATTGATTTTGTTAAATTATCTAAAAACATCAGACCATTTTTTTGTAGATAATATAAAGAATATTCACAAAGCAACTGCTCCAGGTATTTTTATGATAAGTACATTACTTTTACTTATGATTGCAAAATATCATTCTATGTTATGACTGAACGAGTACAGTACCATGTACTGTACTTATCTCAAGTAATGCATTTGGGCAGGTCCTGTTTGCTAACAAGTATTTAGATTATTATTTGATATTAATATACTGATCATTAAACTTTGTAAAAGTAATATTATTTATAAGTAAAGAATGAACTAAAGAACAAATATAAATAAATGTGCCATAATACTGTGATAACTTTAATGTTAAATGAAATATGAAAAATCAGAAAAAATATTGTTTTAAGATAAAATAGGAATCTATTTCAAATTTGGATATGTATGGTTTTTATCTGGAATGTTTATGTTAGACGTTTATCAATAATTTGTGCTCCAATATCAGTGGTATTATTTTTTGTTTCTTTGTTCCTTTCATTTGTTATTTTTTTTACGTTTCGTATTGTAGAAGTATCCTTTAAAATTATATAAAACATCATTAACAATTAATATAAAATATAAGGATGAAAAATAAATATTACCATTGGAATATCGGTAGTGGAGGTTTCAACTGTAACAAGAGATTCAGCAAGCCACGTATCATTTCTTATATTATCAATATTCATTCTTATTCGTTGTGGAACAAGTATTCGTGAGATAAGTGAACGACAAGCTTGAGATACATTTGGTTCTTTAGGAAATACAACTTTATTTTGTACTTGCTATATTATGAAGAAAATAATATTATAGAAAATCATAAAAATTATTTAAATGGCACCATTATATGAATAAAATTTTAAATTAATCTAGATTCTATTACGTTTTTTTTTCTTTTTTAATGTACCTGGGTACCTTTAGTAGTTGACTGTAATTTGTATCATCAAACGGTAGTCGACCATAAACCATTGCATAGAGAACTACGCCCATGGACCATACATCAGATAGTTGAGGTAAATATGGAACACCTTTTAATATTTCTGGTGATGCATAAGCATAACTGCCACAGAAAGTTTCACTTAATGGATTAATTCCATTTTTTGCTTTCATTTGTCCACGTGCAAATCCAAAATCAGATAACTTAATATTAAAATTCTGATCCATCAAAAGATTTTCACATTTGATGTCTCTTAAATAAAATTATGTAGTTAAATATGTGACGGCACTTAACATTTCTTATCAAATTTTTACCTATGTACTACACCACGTCCATGACAGTAATCAATAGCCTCTAATAATTGTCGAAACCATCGACGACTACGAAATTCATCGATAAATGTATCACGTCTTATTATGTCCAATAAACTACCGCATTGAGCATATTCCATAATGATATAAACGCTAAATATTAAATTATTTATTAAATATATTTTTATTAAGTTTATTAAATATAATTAATGAAAATATAAATATTAAAGTATTAAATCTTTTAATTTATTAAATTTATTAAATATAATTAATAAAAAAAATATGTATTGTAATTTTTTTAAATAATAAATTGACTAACCGATGAGTTGTTTCGATCGCTTGAAGAAAACGAATTAAATTTGGGTGTTTTAAACCTTTGACAACTTCAATTTCACGGGGCAAAAATTTTTTTAAGTAATCACCAGGTGCTTGAAATTTTGAAACAATTTTTACTGCTACTTGACAATCATGTCGATCAGATTTTGCTATCTTTTATATATATAATTATAAATAATTAATATTTATGATATGTGATTATTAATATTGATTTTTAATATTAATACATATGTTATATATATAACATACTTTTACAGTAGCATATGAACCGGCACCTATTGTTTTACCAAGAGTATATCCATGTGATTCAAGAATGGTTAATTTTTTTTCTGATTTGTCATTTTTATCTTCCACGAGTTTTAATAAGGATTTTGGAGAATTATCTGTTATGGGTGCAGTTGCCATTTTATATGTAAATTATTATTGTAACATTTTAAATTCAAATTCATAATGAATATACATATATATATGCATTATTATACTGTTTATGGTTGTTCATATTCTTGTGTTAATTTTAATACTTGCAACGATGTCATTGTATTTATTAAATTACATGTTTCTAATAAATTTTTTAAAGAAAATGTTGGAGTTGAAAAAATTGGAGTTTCATAACTTGTCAATTTAGAAACTATGGATTGAAATTTGGCGCGATGCTCTTCATATAGTAAAACTAAAAGATCGATCTTACGAACATTTGAAATACTATTGTTATTGATATTGTTATTACTTCATGAAAAGTATAATAAACTAATTTTAAAAATTAAATATGTATAAATATATATATATATATTTATAATATAATTTTTAAAAATAGTTTTATCTTACTTATTACTTATTAATTTATTTCTTTTCACAATAAAAAATTATATATATTTACAAATTTTATTTTAATTATTTAGAATAAAATTATTCTTTTATATTAGATTAAATAAATAAAAATAAAATATACAATATGATTAAATTGATTGTCGGGATATATTATAGAAGTAATCAATTAAATCATTTTTTTTCAATTATCAATTTATTAATTATATAAATATATTCAGTGTATCTAAATAATATATACTTAATGATTATATATTATATATTGTATCCAAAATCATAAACACGCTATTTGGCATTTAGTCAAGCTTACGTTGATTCGTTTGTTAGAAATACTGTGCTTACGTATTTATTAAAAGAAAACTTATAATAATTTAATTATGGCAGATGTGCTAGATATTGATAATGCAGAAGAATTTGAAGTGGATGATGAAGACGATCGTAAGTTCGATTATTTTTTAAAATACTTTATGGTTATACATAAGCGTCATTTGTTATAACCTCTTAAAATTAGAATTAATTTGACTAAAACATATTGTCATAAATACTTATTTTTAGTATTTTTATTTTCACATTTTAGAAGGTATTGCACGTTTAAAAGAAAAAGCGAAAAGAAGAAAAGGTAGAGGACACGGTGCAGAATTGGTATCTACTCGTGATGATGTTGGTCATTATGAATCAATGAACGTTGTTGAGGAAGATGATGATGAACCAGGTCCACAAAGATGTAAGAAAACATTTTATATATTTTATTTTTGAATAAATATTTTGTAATTATAATTACAAAAAAAAAATAAAATTATATTGATATTTAACATTTTTATAAACAAATATTTATAATTTTTAGCTGTAGAAGGTTGGATTCTATTTATAAATTCTGTGCATGAAGAAGCTCAAGAAGATGATATTCAAGATAAATTTTCAGAATTTGGTCAAATAAAGAATTTACATTTAAATTTGGATAGAAGAACAGGTTTTTTAAAAGGATACGCTCTAGTAGAATATGAAACATTTAAAGAAGCTCAAGCAGCAAAAGATGCTTTAAATGGAACAGAAATTTTAGGACAACCTATTTCAGTTGATTGGTGTTTTGTAAAAGGACCAAAGAAGTAAGATATATTTTAATTAAAAGTATATAAAAATTTCATTTAAAATATAGTAATTATTTAAATTTTATTAACAAATTAATTCTTTTATTTACAGAATTAAGAAGAGAAGTCACCGAAGACGATGAAAAAAGAATGATAATTATTAAAAAAACTTTTATTTCCTCTATGTATAACTACTTTAAATAAGAAAGATTGTTTTGTACTTCACAGATATTGTAAAAAAAAAAAACAAAAAACAAAATATTGGAAATAATATAATTTACAGAAAATTAATTTATCATTTTTTAAAAATTCTATCCATTTAAAATTAATATTATAATTAATAATATAAATTGGAAAGGATTTATAAATATTGAAGTTCAAATGATCTATGCATATATTATTTATATTTATTCAACAGTTATTTATATTTCATTAACAGTTAAGTTGTTAGTATTTCATATAAAATTTGTGAATTCAAATAAGTTTTTCTAAAATCGTAAATTGAAATTGTGAATTAAATATACTGAATTCTTTTATAAATTTTAAAGCTCATATTGAGCTGTTTATTTTACAAATAAGATTAATTTCTTGAAATTTAATTTTGTTTACAATTATTACAATCTCTCTATCTTTATTTATTATAAAATGTATTTTAATAAATAAATCAAAGCACATTAGGCATAATAGTTAAGATTAGCTTTCTTTTTTGCTTGAACTTCATTAATAGCTTCCATTAAATCTTCATGTGTAACTGCTGTTGCATTGCGTCTCAATGCTATCATTCCCTACAAAAACAAAAAAAAGATTAGAAAATATTTCTATTATTTTTATATATCAAGATATTACATACCGCTTCCACACAAACAGCTTTACATTGAGCGCCATTGAAATCATCAGTAGATCTTGATAATTCTTCAAAATTAACATCCGGAGACATATTCATTTTTCGCGAATGAATTTGCATTATACGAGCTCTAGCTTCTTCATTTGGATGCGGAAATTCTATTTTCCTATCCAAACGACCAGATCTCAATAAAGCTGGATCTAAGATATCTACTCTATTCGTAGCTGCTATTACTTTAATATCAGCAGTTGAACTAAATCCATCTAATTGATTTAATAATTCCAACATAGTACGTTGCACTTCTCTGTCTCCAGCTTTTTCAGAATCAAAGCGTTTTGTTCCAATTGCATCTAATTCATCTATGAAAATAATTGCAGGTGCTTTCTCTTTTGCAAGTGAAAATGCATCTCTCACTAATTTTGCACCATCTCCAATAAACATTTGAACAAGTTGGGGTCCTGCCAATTTCAAGAAAGTAGATTTTGTCTGTGCAGCACAAGCTCTAGCTAATAAAGTTTTTCCAGTTCCTGGTGGTCCATATAATAATACACCCTTGGGGGGTTGAATACCAAGATTCTCAAATTTTTCTTTATGTGTCATAGGTAAAACTACAGCTTCTATTAATTCTTGAATTTGTTTGTCCAAACCACCAATATCTGAATATTGTTCTGTAGGTCTTTCATCTACTTCCATAGCTTTTACTCTTGCATCATACTCAGCAGGCAAAGTTTCAAGTACAAGATAGCTATCTTTATTGACACCAACTAAATCACCTGGTTTTAAAGCTTCTGCATCAACCAATCCAATTACAGGCAGAAAGTATGTTTGACGAGTAGAAGTTTTAATAACTGCACATTTGCCTTTCCTTTGTGCATCTAAATCAACAACTGCACCATCTTCTTCCCCAATATTTTGAGGATCCACATCTAATAATTCTATAACATTTGATACTAAATATGGCAAGGTTTTATTTACTTTAATTTTTTCCGTATTCTCTTTAATTTTATCATTTTGTGCCTGAAGTTCATGAGAAATGCGCATTACTTCACTTTTCATAATTTTGATTTCATTGTCTAATAAACGTGTACGGGAGACAATCTCATCTGTAGACATTCTCCAAACATCCTCACCCAAAGCTTCCTATAAAATATTTATAAAAATATTTATTATTAATTATATTATTATTAAATATTATGTATCTTATTATCTCTTTAATTTCTCAAACTTCATAAATTATAAATTACAAACATATTTAGAAATAAATTTCTTGCTAACATTTGCAAGTTATAATATTTATAAATATATACAAATAAAAAATAAGTATAATCTTTTTAATTAAAACATAATACAATTTTTAATTAAAAAATATTTTTTAATTTTAGTAAAATTTATTTTATTTTAAGTAATTTGCATTAGAGATTTTATATGTAATGTATCAAACTCTAAACGATTTAGATATGCTTGTCATTCCATCCTAACCTATACTAAATAAATTTACAATTTATACCTCTCCATCTTCCCAAAGAGACTTGTCTTCAAGAGTAGCCATTTATATTAATAAATTTAATATTTTTTAAATGTTAAAACTCAAAAATCTTCCGTAAATTTGTATTTTGTATAAATCTTGCTCAATTCAGAATTTTACTTCACTTACTGAATTAGTAAGTATTTTATTTATCAAGTCTATGGCTCATTCTGCCATTTTAAGATTCATTTCTATATTTTTTTAATCTATGTCTAAAAATTAATTAATTAGCTTATAATTTTTAGGTATATAAAACTTTATATTTAAAATATAGTATACAAAGATTTGTAAAATAAGAAAATACAGATAATTTCATATTATTATGCAAAAATATATTAAATATTACAATAAACGTAAATAATAGATAATAAATAAAAGATATATATGTTGAAATATATTGCATTTGATTAAAATATAAAACTATCATCATATGGAATTATGTATCCTATTCTAAATACTTTTTCTAATAGAGCAAAAAATCAGAAACTCCAGAAGATTGTCAGATTATATAATTTTTATGTCATATAATTCGAAGACTATAATGTTATTTAAAACATTTCGAATCTAATTGAAGAATTGAATCTGCTTAAAAAATTTTGAGTATTAAAATCTTGATTATTGTGAAAATTTTAATTATTTAAAAATACTGAAAATCTTTTGTATAATATATTGTTTTTTGTATTATATTTTGTATAATATAAAAATATTGGCAATTAATTATGGTGATAATAAATTAATAACAAAATTTATGCAAAATAGTATAAATAGTATTTCAAAAATATTTTGATATTAATTACAAAAATATATAAAAAAAATTAAAAATTTTTTGAAATGATTTGATTGTCGTTATTTTTGTATTATAAAACATTATCATTAAAAACAAATAATAAAAATTTCTCGAATTTTCTCGAATGATTGATTTATTTATCTAAAAAAATTTTTAAAAATGTATTTATTTTATTTGACTATTTTCTTTTGTTTAACTATTGAATTTGATTTTATCATATATTACATTACTGTTCTGTTTCAGTCTCATTTCAATTAACGTATTTATTTACTTATAATTTAATAAATAAGCTTTAAATTATCATTTTTGCATACTTGTTGTTTTTCAAAATATTTTGCAAAGATCATGAATATATTAAGTTACATATTAACTTGCATATTAATTAAATTATTTTGCATATTATGTGAATATTAATTTTTATGTATTATTAGTATCACCGAATTTAGAGTAACCAGAGACAATTAGTTCATTGTTATTTTGCTATGAACGAAAAAAATTTCTTCATGATCTAATTGCACATAGAAAGAATTATTAGTGATTAATAATTATTTTGAATCTTTATAATTGTTGATGGTTGCAAGGATTTCTGAGGAATGAGAAATAAATGAAGAAAGTTAAAATAACAAATAGTTCGACAGATAGTTCGTCAATAATATAATATTTTAGATTCTAAAAAATCTGATTACAGAGTGGGAAAAGACAAAAATAAAAAAATTATAATTGACCATTTAATTTTTAGCCCAAAATTTCGGTATTCAATCACTTTATGAAAAAAATTTATGAATTCTAACATATATAATAGGATTATTAATTAATTATTCGAAATTTCGATTAACCCAGATTTTGATTATTGAGAATCTCGATTATTAGTCATTTTTTGTTTAACATCTTATATTGTTTTTTTGAACTTTTATTTTTTAATTTAAAAATTTATATTATAATATATCTAGTTTCATATTTATTAGATTTCTCTTTTTTTTTTTTAAATTGTTAGATAATTGTTAGATATTTATAACTAAAATTAAGTAGATTATTGAAAAAAAAAATTAAAATTGAAATTAATAAAACTGAATTAGTTAGTCTTCATTAATTTGAAATTCAATCAAAATATATTGAAAAGTATTATAACTTATAATTGTAATGATCAATATTTTCCGATATTTTATATTTGATCTTTTAATTCAGATTTAATTAAATCAATGATCTATAAAGTGAATTAACAGCTAAAAGTGTTAGTGAAGAGAAAATTTCGCGATTTATAAACGATAAATATATTCTCTGTAGTAAATAAGTAATTCATTATTTACTCAAATCAACATATTATAAGTCAATAAGTCAAAATAATTATCAAGAAAAATAATTATAAAAAAGTTAATGTCATCGTATTCATTGTCTCAGATTCAATGAAAGATAGATGATCGAACAGTAACAAGATGTACTTATATCAGAAGAGAATATCTACTAATACTATTTAAAATATTATACAAATTATCTACATAATATAAATGCATGTGATAAGTTTTTTATTTAGAATCCAACAAATAGTATCAATAATTATAATATTTCTAGTTAGATATTTTTATCTATATTCATATTTTGTGTATTTTTCGATTTATGTAAAAATATAGGCACTTTCTTTTTTACTTCATAAGATTATCTTTGAATAGTAATATTGTTTTATAAGTTTTTTTTTAAGTTTATTAAAAAAAAATTTATATAAATAATATGATAATAATAATATGAATAATAAATAATGAGTAGAAAAATTTTCATGAATATAAAATATGACACTGTGTTTCAAGTCATTAATGATTCAATATAAAAGATATTGATATTTGTTACTTGATGTATCAATGTATTTAAGATATTTCTTATATATATCTGCCACTTCATAAGATCAATAATGTACAAATTTTAATTTAATAATCGGTCGATTTCTCAAGCTTCATCAAATGTAAGAATAATAATTGATATAGATAATTCAGATAAATGAGAGAAATAATTTTGATGCCTTATTAGACATCATGGACACATAGATACTGATATAAATATTAAAGATCATCTGTTACTCAATATTTCACATCAATAATTATTACAGTAA